AGGATTAAGGTGTATAGATGATGGATGGATGAAACTATTAAAGCTTCAAGTATTTGAACAGATAGAAGTGTTTGGTGGATAAACCTTTAACACTAGAAAGACTGTGACAGAAAGTATTATTTTGATGTAATAAACCTTCAAAACTATAAGTGCCTGCCGGACAAAAAGTGAAATAAACCTTTAAATCTATAAGTATTGAAGTACAGATATTCATTCTTAAGCTGACCTCTCTGTCTCTTCGTGTCTCTCAGTGTCGTACCAGGGACCAATCTACACTCACGGTGAAGGCCCCGCCCCCATCCCGCCGCAAGGCATGCTGGTCCAGCCGGAGATGCACATCCCCCACCCCGGTCAGTGCACTTTAGGATCCTCCTTCTGGTTTTCGTTTTTATTTCTAGATGTTTCTGGACTCATTTTTCCTGCCTCTGTCCAGGTCTTCATCCCCACCAATCAGGCGGCCCCATCGCTAACCCCGCCCTCTACGGAGGCCCGCCTGTATCCCTGTCACCGGGACAACCACAGCAGCTGCTGCCGCCGCCTTTCTACCCTCCGCCGGGCGTCATGACCTTCCCCTACCCCGCCATGTACCCAAGCCCACAGGTACAACTTCAACAACACTGAAGAAGAAGATTGGTTGAAGATGTATTTTTATAAAGCTGCAACTAAACAAAAAGTAACATCACAGGAGAAGACCTTTGATGAAACGTTTTACTGGTTTCATCAACCAAACCTGTTGTACCGACAAATAAATGCAGTAAACAGGAAGTAAACAATTTATGAACTAAACTAAAACAGCCACAACAAACATGCAGGCAGCCGCTAACATTTATAGAAAGCTAAGCTAACGTTAATCTAACTTCAGGTGAACAGGTTTGTGGATGTAACTCTGAGGGTCATATTGTTGAGCTGCTGTCAGAACAAACTGAATCCAAAAAGTAAAGAAGAAGTGAAGTGAAGAAGTGAGAGAGTCGTCTTCTGAGTGAGCTGCTAATGTTAATGCTAATGCTACGAGAGCATTCAGGCGAAAAGAGCAGCTCAGAGTTTGGAAATTATAACTTCAACTGGATTTACTGAGGAGAGTCCATCTGTTGTGTCGTCACAGAGTTCAGAGGTTTTCCAGCTTGTTCTCAGTTGTTCTCAGATATTTCCAGTTGGTTCCGGATGTTTCCTAGATGTTTTTAGCTCAAGTGTCCTCAGGTGTCCACAGGTGTCCTCTGCTCTGTACTTGACTCTCTCCATGTTGCAGGGTCAGTCCCAGGTGACCTACGGAGGCGTCACGTACTACGACACGGTGCAGCAGCAGGCTCAGCCCAAACCTTCGCCGCCTCGCCGAACGTCTCAGCCCGTCACCGTGAAGCCCCCCCCTCCTGAAGTGCCCTTCGCCTCAGAGTGACTCCACCCCTCAGCCCTCCCTCACCTGTCTCAGCCTCACTCTGATCCAGGAGCTACAGGTGAGACGTCTGTCGGCTTCTCTCCCGCTCACATGAACCTGACGGAGACTCGTTCAGACGACGTGTTGACCGGGAGTAGCTTCAAAATCCTGATTCTGATGCCTTAGAGTCAATTTAGAGAATTAAGATCTGCTCCCAAATCAGGATAACGGCGTATTATCTGACTGAACAATCCGACAGATTGGCTACGTTCAGACTGCAGGACTTAATGGTCAAATCGGATTTTTTTGTGAAATCCAATTTTCTTGTGAGTTCGTTCACGTTTCTAGTTAAATACGACTTGTATGTGATCTGCTGTGTGAACATCATACGACCCAAAAGTGTCACGCATGTGCAGAAGAGGACACGATGACGTCACACGCAGTGAGCGTGCTCAGTGTTTATGGAAGTAAACATGGATGGCGGCAGTGCCACACCCCCGTCGCCGCTGCCGATGGTGGAAACAGAACTGTGACCGCTAACTAAACTAGCATCAGCAGCTAACGAGTGCCTGTGCGTTCCGGCCACTTCCACCCCGTCGGAGCGCTCCCCCGGGGTGGAAGTGTCCCCTGACCGCACAGAATATTCTGATGTTCATCATTAATTGGGCCTGAATATCCAGGGACCCGAAAGTACTACTGGACCAGCCCTACTAGTTATTATAACAACTATGAACAATGAATATTAACAACAAATGAACCTTCCAGCATCAAGCCCTCCTTGTATCTCGACCTCCGTCTTGACAATCCGACCTCCTTGCTATCCGACATGAAAGGTTTTATGTTTAGTGTCGGATTATCGAGTCCCGACTGTACTTCTTTACTTAGTGTGTTTATGCTGCTCTGTTCATTGAGTTTATTTTGGAAAGTAAGAGAACAGAAACTTTAACAGGAAATTCTTGAATCACTTCCTGGTTGAGGGTTTGCAGTTGAACACGTTGTTCCTTCTGCTGATCTGGTGTAACAACGTGTAGATTCATGTTGTGCTTCTGCAGTCAAGTTGAATGTAACCTTCAAAATAAAAGCATGCTTTCCTTCTTGTGTTTGTAGGAGTGGGGTGGGAGGGTCGGTGAGGAGTCGCAGTCGCCAACGGCAACCAACGCCGGCGAGGGAGGGCGGGACTGACGGACGGACGGACAGGTGGACGGACTCTGCAGGTGGCCCACAGCATCACCGATGGATTAAGACTTTATTTTTTATTTCGTTCCCTTTTCGTTTCCAACCCTGTAGCAGTCGGACTGTCGCCGGTTCGAATCCCGCCGACGTGTCTTTGAACCAGACTGTCGAGTTCAAACCCTTTAGTCGGAGCCGTCGGTGCTGTTCAAAGTCCAGTTCAAAGTATTCTCTGTTTCCTTTTGTTTTTCCTCGCGGGGACGTTTTCTGTTGGATTCCAGCTACGTTAACGGTTAACGTGTCATTTTCATCGTATTCGCCACAAAGCGTTTGTTAAGAGACTGAATTTACGGGCAGTTCGAGGATGTTTGAATCCGACCCGGTGCTTCCACGAGTTTCCGTCACAGCAGGTTGGTTAGTTTTGGATGTTATTTTGTTTCTTCTTCTACTTTTCAGTCATGTCTTTTCTTTAAAGGGGAAATGGACACCGCTGCAGACTCACCTTCAGCCTTTTATCTCTGATCAGAATATAAACACAACATAGATGATTTATAATATAGATGAAAGTTCTTATTATTGTATAAACAGCTGTAACTCCGCAACAAGAAGAGAAGTGACTTCAAACTACATTTACTCTCTGTTTGTAAATCCTCTAACAGCATTTATTAAAGAGTCACTCACCGTGTTCAGGCTGCAACCGACTGTCGTTATTGGTTATTTCCTGGATGCTGTTGGTTCCCGTGATGTCAGAAATGGTTAAAAATGTAAATCAGAGTTTCTTCAAATGTCTTGTTTTGTCTGAAGATGTTCAGTTTGCTGTCATAGAGGAAAAAAACCAGACGGTGCTCACATGGAAGGAAACGTTTGTAGATTCATTTTAAAGTCGAACAGGAAGTGTTTCACAGGAGCTCAAGAATCATCATGGAGCTAAAGATCGATCAACTGGTTTTCTGAGCAAAAATGTTCAAATTCGTGGCTCCGATTTGCAAATTCGATGCTTTTCTTTGCCTGGAAATCTTCTTGTTTCGACCTTCCTGCAGGAATAAAAACGTTTTCTCTGCACCGCAAACCAAGCGGCATTAACTCAGACGAGCCGTTTAACATTTAGGTCGATCATGTGGCTGCAGGTCAGAAATTACAAACAGTTCTCTGACAAAACTCTCAATTTCTTTATTATTAGTCAGCTTACAAACACGTAATAAATGCAGCTTTGAGGACAGTTTTTAAGCAGCTTCTCCTTTTGGTTCATCAACGGTTAAATTAATCTCAAACTGCTTTGATAAACGATTGATCGGTTTGTGATTTCAGTGCGAGTCTTTCCGACTTCTTCCACAGTAAACTGAACATCTTCCACCATCTTTTGACCAAACCGCTAATCCAGGAAGTCAACAGCTGGTTAAAACCGTTGCAGTCCTGTTTCGCCGTGTAGAGAATTCACCCTGAACTTCACGTTACTGACATGTTCTTTGTGTAAAAGGTGAGTTTAACAGTAAAACCTGATTTCCTTTGACGCTCAGACCGTCGGGTTCGTTTCCTCCCGACGGTCGGAGTTTGTAAAGTTGCACAGAAGCCGGTCGGAGCTGCTGGTTTGTCTTCACGTCGCTGTACATAGAATCTAAATGTGTAAATAGAAGAAGCTTGAAGAGATAAAAATAGAGCAGTTAAACATATTCTAATAAAACTTCTAGCGCTGCAGCTTCTGGTTAAAAAGCATCGGCAGGGACCTCGAATGTTAACAAGATGATTTAGAGAAGCGACGACAAAGGAGCTGTGTGGCTTTAGCTTTCATTTCTATTTCCCCTTTTTGTTCCATTTTAATACTGTTTTTTTATTGTTATTATTATTATTGTTATTATTATTATTATTGGTAGTAAACGCAGCAGACGGTGTGTTTGTGTTGGAGCTGAAACTTAATCGTTTGTTCTGCAGAAATCGGAAAAAAAAAAATCTGTTTTTTTTGTTTCGTTTTTTTGGTTTGAAGGTTTCCAGAGATGTTTGTTAGAAGTTTGTTTCTCCTCCTTCATGTTCTGTTTTCTGTTGAGAATGAAGCTCGTAGTTTGATGTCAAATTAAAGTTTGTCTTTCTGTCATCAAAGAGTGGTTTCTGTGTTGGAGTGCCAAATTACAAAAATACATCAGTGAAAGAATAATAAAATAAAAGTGGAAATAAAAAGGAGAATAAATAAAATTAAAAAAAAACATAACGTGGCAACTTAAAGCAATATTATTTAAAAATGTAATACGTAAAAGAAAAGGCTAATAAAAGTAGAAATATAAAGACAAATAAAATATATTAATGTATTTATTTTTATGTTTTAAGTTTATTTATTTTGATTTTTAATCTTTTTTAAAAATTTATGTTTTTTTAAATTATTTTTTAAATGTATTTTGTTTTTTTTCTTCATTTAAAAATTGTTTATTTATTTATTTATTTATTTATGCTTTTGTGACCAATGGCAGGCAAAAGCTGAAGCACAGAAGCAGTTCAAAACTCATCAGGCTGCAGGAGAAACGTTGTCGTTTTAAGGACTGTGTCAAAAACATCAAAGTTTAAACAGAAAAACACAAGAGTAGACCTGCAACAATTAACTTTTACAATAACGGCTGATAACATCATATCTTTTGGCCAATAGCATAATAACTGATTACGTTATTGTCTGGTTGTTCTGGTAGATTAATCGTAACAACTGGACTTGCTTGAGTTCCTTGAAGACGTTCCACGTCTCATCCAAGAGGCTTCATCAGTTCTGACTGACTAGTTGGGAGTTCCAGATACTTTTATCCTAAAGGAGTCATGAACACCCCGGGAAGATGAAACCACATCCACACCTAGAGCCACAAAAGACCCTAACGAACCCCGTTGTGGCAGGAGGTGCACTAACAACTCACATAACAAGGGGGAGGAGCAACAAAACCCCAAATGAAACCAAAACTCAGGTGTTAATGGATCCTTTAGGATAAAAGTATCTGGAACTCCCAACTAGTCAGTCAGAAGTGATGAAGTCATTTTCTAACAAAAAACGTGTAAATTCTGTGTTTGCAGCTTCGTCCATGTGAATATTTCTGATTTCTTTCCTCCTCTGTGTCACTAAACTGAACATCTTTGGACAAAACAGGATTTTTCACCATTTTCTGACATGTTTGAGACCAAACTGTTAAAGCACTCAGTACCTGATAAGTGAACATGATCATTAGTTGCAGCAGGAGAATGAACTTCAATCCAATCAAACTTCAGGTTCATTTAGAGCCAAACAGGTGAAATTTAAAATCAGCATGAATTTAATGAACAATTTTAGGGACCAAACATGTGATTGATTCGTCCAGAAAACAAGTGTCGCAGCTCTAAATGACTTTAAAGTGAATAAATGTCGGATTAGTTTAAACAAACCTCACATGAAGTCAGTTTGTCCTAAACACACGATCTTTGTTTTCACTCCACAAGTTATTTCAGCAGCTTCAGTGAACGTTGGTTGTAATATTTGGTTTTCTGGCTTTGTGGCAGAAACGTCAGCGTACTTTTAGTTTTCTTCAGAACCTCCAGTTTCTGCCCTGAACATTCCTCCAATGTTCCCTGAAGGTTTGAGTCTTCCTCTCCAGGTTGCCGTGCCGACGCTGAGGATGAAGATGTTTCTGTCGTCGTCACAGGATCAATAAAAAACATGAAAATAAACCTGTTTGTCTTCATTTGTCTAAAACTGAACCATCAGTCTTTGTTCTGCTTCCTTCAGGTGAATTAAAATCACAATTCATTTTGATTTTTACCTTTTTTTCAGCTTTTATGCTGATTTCTGAACAACGTGCGTCTTTTGTGTGTTTTTTTTTTAGCCTCTGATCATTTTGCAGCTTTCTGTGATTTTGTGCTCATTTTGTGTCTTTTGCTGTCATGTTCTGGGTTTTTGTTGTCACGTTGTGTCACTTTGTGTTCATTGTTTGGGGGGTTTGTTGTCATTTTGTGGGGTTTTTTGTTGTCACTTTATTTTGTGGGTTTTTGTTGTCATTTTTTTTTGACACTTTGCTCATTTTGTACATTTTTGTTGTCATTTTGTGTCCTTTTTTGTTCATGTTGGGGTTTTTTGTTGTCACTTTGTTCATTTTGTACATTTTTGTTGTCACTTTCTGTCTCTTTGTGGTTGTTTTTTTTCTCTCTGTTTTTGTCTTTCGCATCACTTTGAGGTCATTTTGTCTCTTTTTGCATCTTTTTCTCGCCTTTTTTTTAAACGTCTTTGCTTTGTTGTGTTTCACTCACATGTTTCTTCGCCTCAGTCATCCCTCTGTGTGTGTGTGTGTGTGTGTGTGTGTGTGTGTGTGTGTGTGTGTGTGTGTCACCGGAGCTACTGAGCGCGTGCAGACATGAGCTCAGTGATGTCACAGGCGTGTTACACACATGTTCACTGAAACATGAACGTAAACAGATGCGACACAACAGACACAATCTGTTGTTTTGTTGTTGGGAGTCATGACCTCTAATAACCCGGATGCTCTTCCAAATATGGGCGTCAGGTGTGTTTACGTGCACCTGTTCTTAGTTTGAGCTTTAAAAAGAAAAGCTAAGATTTTGTGAAAACCTCCAAATGTTGCCAAAAAGCTTTCAGTGGAACGGTTTTGCATCTCTTTGTGGTCATTTTGTGT